GTCACTGCTTGCCTTTCTTCCATCTCTGACTGGATGTCCTCACGCTTTCTGAAACTCAATCTCTCTAAAACTGAACTCCTTGTCTTTCCTCCTCCTTATACTGATCCTCCTCTCTCACTCTCCCTTCAAGTCAGTGATATCCACATAAGTCCATCCTTGCAAGCACGCTGTCTTGGAGTCATACTTGACTCTGGCCTCACCTTTGAGTCTCACATCCAGTTTGTTGCCAAATCCTGTAGGTTCCAACTCAAAAAAATAGCCCGCATCTGCCCCTTTCTTACGCAAGATGCTACCAAAGAGCTTGTCCATGCTCTAGTAATTTCCCGCATGGATTACTGTAACCCTCTCCTGATTGGTCTCCACAAAAGCCGTATTGCCTGTAATGAATGCTGCAGCTAGACTGATTTTCCTCTCTAGTCGGTCCTCTCACACATCACCCCTCTGCCAGTCCTTACATTGGCTCCCTGTATCCTATAGGAGTCAATTCAAAGTGCTAACCCATACATTTAAACCACTGAACAATTCTAGCCCCTCTTATATCTCCTCAATGATCCATAGGTATGCCCCTCCTCGTTCCCTCCGCTCTGCCCGTGACCACCTCCTGACCACTGCTCGCACCTGTACAGCCAACTCGCGCTTGCAAGACCTCTCGCGGGTGGCTCCTTTCCTATTGAATAGTCTGCCTACTGCCATCAGACTCTTCCCTAGTCTTCAATCATTTAAGAAGAGCCGTAAAACCCATCTCTTCAGGAAAGCTTATGGCTTCCCAGAGTAGCCTCTACCTTACATACCTGTCTCTTGCTCTCTCCTATAGGGCAGCAGTCTACCCTCTCCTCCAGCTCTGTTTTACTCCCACCCTATTTGATTGATATTTCCTGTCCTAACGTGTCTTATACCCCACCTCCTATAGACTGTAAGCTCGTTTGAACAGGGTCCTCTTCAACCTATCGTTCCTGTAAGTTTTCATGTAATTGTCCTATTTATAGTTAAATCCCCCCTCTCATAATATTGTAAAGCGTTACAGAATCTGTTGGCGCTATATAAACGGTAATAATAATAATAATAATAATATGGAAGCCAACAATTTAGTTACATTAGAAATCTTACATTAGAAAAAAGATCTCTATTGAGGAGTTAGCATTCAGGTTCCATGAACCTAAATGATGCCTAGCCTATTCATGGTTCCTATCAGCAAGAACAGCTTCTCTGGATGGGTCCCAAATGGCAATTTGCATGCATACTATTTGGACTTTCTTTCTCACCATTGTGTTTTACCAAAATTATGCAGATTGCAAAGCTGAGGTGTCAGACTAATGTGCCACATTTGGCATCTAGTTTCACTGACTTGGTTTCTTTATTTTCTGTACTTGGACCCTGCTTTGCGCAGGCTCTTGAATTTTGATTTTTGGTTAGTGCAGTAACCCTTCCTTTATTTCTATGTGACCAGACTAATAATTTAACTGGATGACATTTTAGAGAAGCTCTCCATTTCATTCACAAACACATGGATAAGACTATTATGATACTGACCAATTTGGATTATATCATAAACAAGAAAAACTATAATTTTCCTCAAGAAGTAAAATTTCAATGTTTTATTTTAACACTCAAGAAGCTGCCCTGAGTCTTACATCCAGGAAATAGAGGACATTCAAAAGGAGATCATATCTGTTCTCAACAATATTTTTATTTCCATCAGAACTCATATTTTTCAAGCTCCCCTTCATTACCATCCCCTTCAGAGCCTTAAAGCACAATAGTTAAGAGATGGCCTTAGTTATGCAGATGGAATTTTCTCACTCCAGAGACAAGGTTCCATAACCAGATATGGAATGGGAAAGCTACTTTCGGATCCTTACCTGTTATTATCATAAGATCTGAAGCTAGTAATTTGGGTGGTGAAGCGCAATGTTGACATCTAGTGATGTCCCGAACTGTTAGCCGAACGGTTCACGAACGGTTCGCCACGAACGGTTCGTCACGGACTCATCATTGAGTAAACTTTGACCCTGTACCTCACAGTCAGCAGACACATTCCAGCCAATCAGCAGCAGACCCTCCCTCCCAGACCCTCCCACCTCCTGGACAGCATCCATTTGTGAAGCTGCATTCTTAGTGAGCTGTCCAGGAGGTGGGAGGGTCTGGGAGGGAGGGTCTGCTGCTGATTGGCTGGAATGTGTCTGCTGACTGTGAGGTACAGGGTCAAAGTTTACTCAATGATGAGTCCGCAACAAACTGTTTGTGGCAAACCGTGGTGAACCGTTCGGCGAACCGTTCGGGACATCACTATTGACAGCTATCCACAGGAGGCAAATGGTTAGCAGACAAATTGCTTATGCCTATAAATTGTTTAGAATTGCTTGTGGGTGTTTATACATTAAAATGTTTTCTGAAAGACAGATCAAATTGTTGTGTATTTCTAAAGATGGACAAGGTCAGCTCAGTAAAGTATTTGAATCTTTTGGGAGGCACAAAGATGATGGCGATATTACAAAAGGGTTCTGGCATGTTTATTTAGACCAAGACAACAACACTATTGCAGACTGAAATCACAATTTAGTAATAGATTGAAGCGATTGGAAACTAGATCTGCAAATTTTCCGTCACATACAACAAGGAAACTAGGCAATTCCCAGAAGCTACAAATGTCTACTTTCAAAATCTCTTTGGTCCATTCAAGGATCCTTACAGAGTGTAATGTTAGCAATATGGAATATAACTTTATATAAAAGGTCTTTTTAGATTTATTTTTTTGACAAGCCACTTTACTTTATATTCTCTTCTGTTATACACCAGACTTAGTGATGGCAGTTTACCAAAACCACAAATTGTTACATCTGTAATTCCAACATAAAGTTCAGTACTTGTGTTGTCAGCAAAGTAAAATGCTTTGTTATGTTATTTATAAGTAGACAAAGTTATTTTAGACAAATTTATAAAATGATCACAGGAAAGAATAATAGATATTTATATGATAGTTTGGTGTACAGAATGAATCAGAGATACATAAGAGGAATGTTAAAGTACCTTTAGAATAGGAAATAAACATATTATAATGAAAAGGAAGTAAAATGCCCACTCATTAAACTAAGCTAAAGGTTAAAATACTCAAGTCAAATATAGGATACTTTGAACAAAGGACCGAAGCTTTGGGCTAGACATAGACAACTCACGGCATACACACAACCCATGGGGCCCCGGTGCGAAAACTGATCCGTGGCCACCCCCCCCGCGCAGAGTACTCTGAGCGGGCTGGGGCCGCAACACATGGCGATGGGCACCTGTTCGCAGGGGTCGCAGCAGCCCTGCGACCGCGGTATGTACGCCAGTGCATGCAGATACACATACACTTAAAGGACCACTACAGACACCCAGATCACATCAGCTCAATGAAGTGGTCTGGGTGCCAAGTCCCTCTAGTTTTAACCCTGCAGCTGAAAACATAGTAGTTTCAGAGAAACTGCTATGTTTCACTGAGGGTTAATCCAGCTCTATTGGCTGTCTCTGACAGCCGCTAGAGGAGCTTCCGCGATTCTCACTGTGAAAATCACAGTGAGAAGACGCTGAACGTCCATAGGAAAGCATTGAGTAATGCTTTCCTATGGGCGGTTTGAATGCGCGCGCGGCTCAAGGGAGTCCGGCGCTAGAAAAAGGTAAGTGCTGAAGACACACAAATGCTCACGAACAGACCCATACACACTAGCTAACAGTCACACACACTCTTACGAACAGATGCATACACACTAGCTAACAGCGGGTACTCTGAGCGGGCTGGGGCCGCAACACATGGCGATGGGCACCTGTTCGCAGGGGTCGCAGCAGCCCTGCGACCGCAGTATGTACGCCAGTGCATGCAGATACACATACACTTAAAGGACCACTACAGACACCCAGATCACATCAGCTCAATGAAGTGGTCTGGGTGCCAAGTCCCTCTAGTTTTAACCCTGCAGCTGAAAACATAGTAGTTTCAGAGAAACTGCTATGTTTCACTGAGGGTTAATCCAGCATCTATTGGCTGTCTCCCTGACAGCCGCTAGAGGAGCTTCCGCGATTCTCACTGTGAAAATCACAGTGAGAAGACGCTGAACGTCCATAGGAAAGCATTGAGTAATGCTTTCCTATGGGCGGTTTGAATGCGCGCGCGGCTCAAGGGAGTCCGGCGCTAGAAAAAGGTAAGTGCTGAAGACACACAAATGCTCACGAACAGACCCATACACACTAGCTAACAGTCACACACACTCTTATGAACAGATGCATACACACTAGCTAACAGACACACATTTACTGACAGACACACACTCAGTGACAGACATACATACACACTCACTGACAGACAGACACATACACATTCACTTACAAAACACACACTCACTAACAGACACCAAACTGACTCACTAACAGATACACACAGTAACACACTAACACACACACACACACTCTAACACTAACACACACACTCTAACACTAACACACACACACACTCTCTAACACTAACACACACACTCTAACACACACACACACTCACACTCTAACACACACACTCTAACACTAACACACACACTCTAACACACACACACACACTCTAACACACACACACTCAACACCCAACACCTAACACACACACACCACACACACACACACCAACACCAACACACACTAACACACACACACACACCACACACACACCACACCTACACACACACACTGTAACACTAACACACACACACACACTCTAACACACACACTCTAACACTAACACACACACTCTAACACTAACACACACACACTCTAACACACGCACACTCTAACACTAACACACACACACATACTCTAACACACACACTCTAACACTAACACACACACTCTAACACTAACACACACACACTCTAACACAAATACACTCTACACTAACACACACGTTTTTTAAAAAAAATTCATCCCCCAGCTTTTGGGAGTGCTGAGGTGATTCCCTGGGGTCTAGTTGTGTCACCCGGCTGGCGGGGGAGCACTCTTCCCTGTGTGCTCCCTCTTCAGCTCCCTTGCACGTCGCGTACTGATACCGGAGCTGGAAGATGACGTCATCAGTGCAGTGCGCGAGGGAGTTGAAGAGGGAGCACACAGGGGAGAGTGCTCCTTTGCACGCCCGCCAGCCTGCCCACTCGGTGACACCAGGGCCAGCCACTCTTACGAACAGACGCATAGACACTAGCTAACAGAAACACACATTTACTGACAGACAGACACACACTTAGTGACAGACATACATACACACTCACTGACAGACAGACACATACACACTCACTTACAAAAAATACACTCACTAACAGACACCAAACAGACTCACTAACAGACACACACAGTAACACTCTAACACACACACACTCTAACACTAACACACACACTCTAACACACACACACTCTAACACACACACACTCTAACACACACACACACACTCACACTCTAAAACACACACTATAACACTAACACACACTCTAACACTAACACACACACTCTAACACACACACACACACTAACACTAACACACACACTCTAACACTAACACACTCTAACACTAACACACACTCTAACACACACACACTCTAACACTAACACACACACTGTAACACACACACTCTAACACTAACACACACTCTCTAACACACACACACTAACACACACACACGTTTTTTTTAAAATGTCATCCCCCAGCCTCCCTACCTTTGGGAGTGCTGAGGGGATTCCCTGGGATCCAGTGGTGTCACTGAAGATGATGTAATGTTCCGGCTCCGGTATCAGTGCGGTGCGCTAGGGAGCTGAAGAGGGAGCACACAGGGGAGAGTGCTCCCTCGTGCGCCCGCCAGCCTGTCCACCCAGTGACACCAGGGCCAGCCTTGGGGGACCCTGAGGTGGCCGGCTCCTGGGCCCCCCAGGAGAAGAAGCTGGCCACAGTGGGTACATCGCAGCCGCGACCCCTGCGACCCCGGTATGTACGCCACTGGCTGTGAGAGTGGTGAATGTAAATTCAATCTAATAAATAATAATATTTAATGTAGACACTTTAGATATTCCAGATTTTATGTTGCAAAAATCAACCAGAGCATTATAGTATTGAAAATTCAAAAATCTCCATTCTACAATTATAAAGAAATTGATACAATAGAGGGGTCAGTAGTATCAGAGATAAAAGAAAAATATGTTATGCATTTCAGGCTAAAATACCAGACTCATTTATTTCTAATTTTATTAACTCTTCATTGAGTTTTTAATGGACTGGTATGGTGCTCGTTCCATTTATTAGTTAAAAATCTGAATTTTAATATCTGAGCTAGGGTTGAAAATGGGTTACAGCCTACTTGTCTTGCATACTTCCGATATTGGAAGATATGAAATTAGGAAAGTTGGTTGGTTGGGTCTTTAAATGTCTGCGAGTGAATCACTTGCATCCCTGGTGGTGCCCAAAATGGGCCATGCTACCTGGAAAGGTAGCTGGCCTCCTTGGCCAGACCCACTCAAGGTAGACCATGCCCAGAGCACTTCTGAAGAACTCCCTGCATAGTTCTAGTGCCCTGACACCACTTAGCATAGCTCTGGGCACACCTAATTATGCACCTGCATTGAACTTTCTGGGGACTGTTCCCTGGTGTAATTTTGTCCATGCTTCTGTCCTTGTTTGCCAGTTTTCATCAAAAGCAGGATAGGATACTGTTTGGTCTCTATCCAGTCTTTCTGCTACATTTTGTGTTAGCACATTTTTTGGTCAGGTAACCCGTGTGTAATGTCAGGCCCCGTACCTACACATCTTTATTTGTAATAGATACCGAATGATTATGTGAATCATACTTGGGTTTCAAATTGCATATACTGATTCTCGCAGGACATCTGAAACAGTCATTGGCAACACCTCAAGGGGAAAGCATATATTTACAGTAACACTTCTGCTTTGTGCTTTTTTATGGACTATTAGTTCAGCATAGTGTTATTGGAAGTGTTATTTTTATTTCACTTGTTCCTTTGACTTCTGTACTCCAGAACCTGGTTCCTTCTGATTATTCTCTCCTACCTAACCATCCCTTGGCTAGTTTATATGGTTCTGGTATTCTGGTATGATTTCTGGTATCCTGTCTTCTGTGTATCTGATTTTCCAGATTCCAGGTATACTGCTAACACTTTTAAGAAGTTTCAACATTTTTTGAAGCCCAACTGTCTCTTAAGGTTTTTAGTAAACACAGAAATGACATGGTCTGTACCGTTCCAACTAGGCACATTGTAATTTTAGGATTCATTTTATCCTCATTGTTTTATTGGTTAATCACATTAATATTAATGTGTAATTATACACAATTAAGGTGCTGCTGTAAAAATTACAATGATAAAAGAATGTCTGCATGCCTTTGCCATGATGATTAATTAAGGCAAAACAAATTATCAGGATTAGGTAACTGCATGTGAAAGCGAACAAGTGAATTACATAGATTACCAGGTCAACATCAAGGGAACGAAATCTTAAAAGAGCCACAGGTAAAAAACTAATGGCAATAAAAAACATGAAAGTCTCCTTAATCATGTTTATTATACCTAGTTATCAGCAGCTCTGTGAATTGGAATCCTAAGACTTTAGAATTTTAAAGCTTGCTGGATACAGATATGTATTAATTGTGCATGTATTGTCATGTTGTGTGTGGTGCAGAGGTGCTATATATGCCAACTCTTTAAAATATCAGACCTGGGTACTTGAAAGCAACCATGCCCTCATGCCAGGACATCACTGCATATTAGACAATTACATAGTTACAATATTACATATTCATTTAGATTGAAAAAAGACAAGTTCATCAAGATCAAAATTTCACACATCCATGTTGTTGATCCAAAAAAAAGCAACCCCCCCGCCCCCCAAAAAAACAAAACAAAACAAAAACAGTTCTGGTCCCAGTAATAAAAACAAATATATGCCCCTTTTTTCATATAACTATATAATCTGATAAAACAACTACTTTGGGTAGAGAATTCCACTTCTCTATTGTTGTTACTGTGAAGAACCATTTTCTGTAGAATAAATTGCTTTTTCTCGAGTCTCAATGATTGCATGCTTACTACATATTGATGTCATTTACTGATTATAAGTTGTCTAGCACAGACTAGGTCATATGCCAAGGCATGTTATCCAGAGGAGTGCCTGCGCTTGAAAAAAATTACAGACACTTCCTGAAATAGGCATCATTATACATGACAAATGGTGACAAATAGCATAAAGAGATTTGAGCTAGTCAGGATTCCAGAAATCAGAATAATGATGTGACGAGACCAATCTCGCCACATTGCATTGGAGAAGCCTGGTTGCTCGCCTGCTGCCTTTGGACTATGGCCCCCTTTTAAAAGACTTTATTTTTGCATGCAGAAAAGCTGTATTCGTGCTTTTCTGCCGGTTGTTCGGTAGTTTCAATCTACCGAACAACCGTACGAATGATTGGACCACCTGGGAGCTGGAGTGTGCCGGCAATTAACCTCCCTGAAGCTGCGGTTAACCGCAGCTTAATTGATGAACGCTGGGTGGCCGCCGTTCGTATCCCGAACACGAGGTCGCGGCCATTTTAAACCATACGAATGAACAGCGGTGTTCGCCTCTATTTTTATGGAACTAAAATCGGACACAGTTTTGCGCGAACACCGCTGAAGCCGCCGACCTCCCTTCTTGTTCGGTGAAAGCACACGAATGACCCGGTGTTCGGTATTTTTGTGTGAATATCTTATACCCCAGATAGGAATCCCATGGAGCCCATTCGTATGAAACTGACTGTAAAGACTTTGGCTCCATGGCGATTGAACTGTATTCGTGTAGTCTGAGTGCCATTCACCTAATAATGTGCACTCAGACCTGAGCTATCTGGGGATATGTTACATGTCTGTGGTTTATGTAGTAAATGTTACTTTGTGCATTTTAAAGTGTTATGCTGGTTTTGTGTTCCCACGTGTGTAATGGAGTTTTGCCTTTGTCTTGGGAGATAATTGAGTTACTTCCCAATTATCTCCCAGGGCAGAGGGGAGGAAGCCAGGATGCATTGTGGGAATATACTGTGACTGTGTGTCCTATTTGTATACTTGTCTGTCCCTTGTCACAGTCTCCCATTTGGTCCCCTAGGGGAGTGTCCACCAGGTGGGAGACCTGCATAAAAGCTGGGCAGGTAGCCCTCATTAAACAGACCACTGCTTGACCCTCAACACGGAGCCTTGTCTCGTCTTTGGGGGGATTTACTGTATGCTGCTAAGGACTGATTGCCAGGAGTGTAAGCCGCTTGGAAGCTTTTCCTGTTCGCCTGCTAGCAGCTATTCGTATGGTTCCTGTTCGTTTATTTGAAGTGCTACCTTATTCCCTTGTATGCCGTTCGGGAGTTTGGAGCATTCACTTATTGGCGGTTCGTGAGTTTTGGTGATTATTCAGTAGCTGTGCCTGTCTCTGAAAAGGGGGATTATCGTCTAAGCGGTTTTTTTCCCCTTTTGTGCAAAACGGACCGTTACAATTGGTGGCAGCGGTGGGATCGTTCCCACGGACTACAGGACAGCTACAGGAGACACCATTCCGTGGATTTACAATTTGAGGGCAACGCATGTCCCAGTACAGCGACCCTGACAGCAACAGCATGGAACCAGCAGTGGCGTACAGCTACTCAAGGAGAGAGTTTGACAATATGATGGGATTGCGGCTAAAGTACTACGGACCCAATCCACCGGAGAAATCGGTGCAGCTTATAAGGAATCTAGTGTTCAAGAATCTGCAACACCGGGCAGAAAGAGAAGGTCAGCTGGCACGTTGGGAAGAACTCCAGCGACAGGTACTGCAGGGAATTGGGAGCCCAGTCTCCATTCCCCAGCGGCAGAGTGAATTGCAGGGAATTGGGAGCACAGTCTCCATTCCCCAGCGGCAGAGTGAATTGCAGGGAATTGGGAGCCCGAGCTCCATTCCCCAGCGGGAGATATTGCAGGGAATTGGGAGCCCAGTCTCCATTCCCCAGCGGGAGAGTGAATTGCAGGGAATTGGGATCCCAGTCTCCATTCCCCAGCGGGAGAAATTGCAGGGAATTGGGAGCCCGAGCTCCATTCCCCAGCGGGAGATATTGCAGGGAATTGGGAGCCCAGTCTCCATT